TAAATTTACTTATTTATTATTATTAAATCGATATGCTGCCCACCTCCCAATCCACTCAAGGTGGAGGCGGCTCCTGGCTGATCGAGCGCCATGTTTTGATTGCTGACGGGCCGGGTGGATCGAAGGGTGCGGTGGGGGGAGGGGCTGCTCTCCTCTAGGGATCTGCTCTGCACTGAAGGACAGCCTGCCCCTCCCCCGCCCCCACTGAGACCGGCACTGAAAGCGCTCACCTACAAAGCCCCCCCACCCCCCAAATCCTCTACACGGCCCCCGGGAACCCCGGGCTTTGGCTGGTGGGAAAGTCAGACGGAGGAGGGTAATTCCAAGGAGCGCCTCCTTGCCAGCCGAAGGGCATCTGAGTGGGATTAAAGGATTACCATTAAGCCCCCTTTTCTGGGAGCAGCGTTCTTTGGGGGCTGCATTTGCAAATCACGCCCCCCCCACAGCCCCAGGTGTGGATTCATGGGAAAAAGCTTCCCTCTCTCTTCCACCAGCTTTCTCTGGGCCAGCCCCCAGCCCCCAAATTCCCTAATGGGACCCTGGACCCCCAGCAATTTCCCACAGCGGCTCATCCTTCCCTGAAAAGCTGTTTCATTCCACGACTCTCCCCGTTGACAATGGGGGGCAGCAACGCGCACAAAGACATGCACTTGGGGGGTGGGGGGACATATATTGAGGCCCACCCCCGCTCCTAACGTCCCTGCCGTGTCTGCCCTGGTGGGTCCTGGGTGGGGTCCAGATGACCCACCCAAAGCCCCCTTCTCTGCCCGTCTTTGGATCTGCCTTGTGGGAATCGCTCAGTGACCTCGAATTGCAGATTATTGCAGAAGCCGTGGGGGGGGGGGGGCTGGTCTGGGGCCCCAGTGGGCCGGCACCACTTTCTCAAACCAGAAAGGTGTCCCACCCTCAACCTCTCAAGGTTTGGCTCCCGTTCACCCCTCCGACCCCTCAGCCAGCTCCTCTCTGGCCTGGGTGGGCTAGAAGGCCAAGAGGGGGACCCCGGGCTCTCCTGCCTCCCCGCCCCCCCCAGTCTCAGCCACCGAGGCAGGGGCACCACAGCTCACCGAAAAGCCGGTGGGGCCGCCCGAGTGGGAAGGGGGGGGGAGACCCCGCCGCGCAGCGGGAGCCAGAAGGAGCCGCTCCGTGGAGCGACTCGCCAAGTGGCCGTTGGGGAGACCGGGAGGCGCAGCTCGAGGCAAACCGAGGAGGGGTCCGTGGTCGGGGGGGCCACCTCCTCCCGCCCCTCGGGGTCCACCGGCGACCGGGACCGGAGAGCTTCCGAGCGGGGCTGCAGCAGAAGGGCGAAGGCTGAGCCGCGCTTCTCCCGCCCCACAGCGCCCGGGACCGGCAGGAGGAGGGGACCCCGTTGGGCGGGCGAGGGGGGGGTTGCTGCAGAGGCGGCCGGGCCCCGACCAGCTCCTCCCGGGGTGCCTCGCAGGCCGAGGCCGGGCGTGAACCAGGAGGCGGAGGAGGCGGCGGCCCCGCCCTCAGGCAGGCAGGGAAGCCGGGCAGGAGCCGCTTGAAAGCCCCCCCAGGAATAGCCCCCACCCCGAGGCCCCGAGGGAGCCCGGGCAGCCGCCGAGAGGAAGAAAGCCCGGACGTTGGGACGGAGCGGCCGCCTCGGAGACCGGCCCGCCCCGTCGGGCGCCCAGAGCGGCCTTTGGAGGGGGCGCTGCAAGCGGACCGGGCAGCCCTGCTGGGGCCCTTCCCGGGGCTCTCCCGGAGCGACCAGCCGCCCCTTCCGTCGGCCCGGCCGGCTTCCCTTCCGCGAAAGCGTCGCAGGAGGAGCCCGTCCACGCAGCCCCCCCCCCCCCCGGGCCGCGAGGGAGCGCGGGGGGGGGGGGGGAAGCAGGGAGGGCCCAGGTGCCTCGGGACGCGCCTCCCGCTCCCCAGGTGCGACCAGGTGTGTCCGCCCCCCCCCCGCCGCCTTAGCGGGGGCCCCAGCGCCGAGCGGGTAGCCCAACCCAGCCCCGCCGACGCCCCCCCGAGGACCCCCCTGGCCGCCCCCATTTCAGGCAAGGAAAAGAGCGGAAACAGACTTTGGTTAAGTAACCAGGCTTTAGAAAGGAATATATCATTTTCTAAACATATCAGTGCATACTTCTTCTTATAGGAAAATATACACTATTGTATTTCATTCTCAAAGGAAAAAAAAAAAAGGAAACATTTAAAAACCAAAAGCCAAACACAATATATTAGCCGTTTTTGTAGTTTAAATTTTTTTTTTTTAACGCTACACTTTGTTCAGGTTACACTTTTTTGTCTTTTTTTGTCTTTTTTGTAAATGTTTTCATCTCATGCATTGTACACTTTTTGTAGCCTTTTGAGAATAAATAAGCTCCATTTTCCCCACATCTCTAAAAACTGCAGCATTTTCAACTAAAGTCATTTTAAATCGTGCAATTTTGTGTTTCGTTGCAACACCCCTTTTTAAAAATGGAAAATATATAATATATATATATATATATATTTATATATATAGATAACTTTTTAAAACTAAAACCCTATACAAATGCCATTTTTTTTTCAAATTAAAAAAAAATTATACACAATGTAACTGTCAACAGTACAGATGAACACGAGAAATAAAATTAAAAGCTCTTGAGAAATATATTTATAGAAATACAAACAAGGGGTTTGATTTTATAGATTGTCATTCTTTGCTTGTCTTTCAAAAAACGAGGTGGAGGAAAGAGGGGGGGCAGAGAGAGGCTGCAAGACCCCCCCCCCCATGAAAGAAAGGACAGAGGGACCGCAGCTGGACAGAATCAAAGGGACAATCCTGGGCTTCTCCAGATGTCCACCACCACCACCAGCCCAGCAGCTGGACCAGGCCGGACCGTCTTCAGCCCCTTCTTTGGACATCCTGCCCCCCCCCACCCCCCTCCCCCATCCCGGCTCCTGCTGGTGGGCCAAGGCTCCAGGCAGTTAGCCGGGAGGCCAAACCCGTTTTCTGCACCCAAGGATAGTGCAATGAGGCTCACCCCCCTGCCCCAAAGAAAGCCCCGCGTAAAGGCCATGGGCCTCGGGCACAGCCCCCCCCCCCAGGGAAACGTGTCCCTCTTAGTGTGACGGACAGAACGGAGCTCATCATCACGTTCATTGGCTCCAACCCAACTGAGTCCCCTAAAGCCAAGGGAGGTCTTCTCCTGCCCCGCCCACTTCGGGGCCCATTGCTGGTGCCCGGGGCCCCCAGGCCAAGCCTGGCCCTCTGCGGAAGGAACAGCTCTGCCCTCCGGCGGGGGGGACGGGGGGGGACGACGACGGGGGGCTCCGGGCAAAAGGGAATTGTTAATTCAATGCCTAGGTTGCAAGTGGGGGGGGGGGGGGGGGGGGGGGGGGCGAATGGCAGAAACCAACATGGAAGCCAAGGCGGCAGCAGCCCCCCCAAGGTCACACGGGGCTCGGGGGGGGCAGGGGGGGGGCTCCACCTCCGCTCCCATCCTGCAACCAACCCCATCAGAATCCCAAGAAGCCTCCGGGGCCACCAGTGAAGGCAAATCAAGATGAACCCAAAGCAATGATGCGCAAACCCAGACGGGATGCTCCCCCTTGGGACGAAGCCCCTTCCTTTGGGGCTGGCGACCCCCCCCCAGCAGCTCCCCAACAGCCCTTCAACGACAACAACGAATGCAAGATTCCTGAGCGAACAAGCAGCCCCCCCTTCCCCCCTCAATCCCCACGGGGGGGGGGACGGGACCCACCCAGGGTTTTGCAAGCATGGGGGGGATAAAAGCCCCTCCCCACAGCTTTGTTCCCCTCCCCCTAATTGGGCCAGGCCCTTTGCCCCGGGGCGAGGGTGGCCAGGCCTACTCGGGAAAGCAGCCCAGGAGCCTCAAGGGGGGGGCCTCCCCCCCCCGTGGGAAGGGATCAGAGCCCCTTCCCCCGATTGTGTGGTTTGCATTTAAAGGCCTGGACTTTTAGCCACCGAGAAGATCGGATGATGAGCAGAGAACCTTTGTATCTGAGGGAAAGGATCGCCCCACCCCGGCCCCCCCCTCAGCGTAAGGCAGCATTTTTTTTTAAAGTGATTTTTTTTCCTAGAAATACTGATGCGAAACCTCCCTCCCTGCGTCCCCCCCCCCCGGAGCAGGCCCCCCCTTTCCCCCGGGGGCAGCAGGTTCTTGGTCCCTGCCGGCCAGGAAGGGCCAGCCGCTCCCTCCGCCCTCTTTCCCCTCCCCCGGGGCTGCTCCCCCTTTCCACGCCGGGTTTGTGGGGGCCCAGTTGGATCCATCGCTCAGAAGGGGAACAAGGGACGCCCGTCACTGGGCCAAGAGGGGGGACGAGTGCGGGGGGGGCGGGGGGGGCGAAAACCACGGGGAAAGCTCCCAACAGCTGCAGTGTGTGAAAAGGTGCCCCAAGGCCCCCCCCATCCCTCCAGCAAGTGGGGGGGGGCTGCCCCACCCTGCCAGGGCGTCACCGCCCAGCTGTCTCCAGGCGCAGGGGGCCCTCAACCTGGGCCCAGCCCTGCCCCTCCCACCTGGGAAGGGCCTCCCTGGGCTGCCCCCGTTTCATATCCGAGGGGGTGGGGGAACCCTGTGCCCCAGATTATCAAAAGTTTGGAAAGAATGGACGAGGGAGCCCCCCCCCCCCCCCAAAAAAAAACCCCTCAAAAGCTATTGCATTTTCCTCCAGCCTCCCAGGAGAGGAGAAGGGAGGCTTAACCCTTCCTCTCCCGGCTCAGAGCGACGGCTTGGGCCGCGGCCCGTCTCCCCCCTTAGCCCCCCCCGGACGCCCCAAGGCACTCTCCTCTTCCAAGCAGGACTAGGAGGGAGGCCTCCCCCTGGCCCCTCACAGAGCCAGCCATCGCCGGGACCCCCAGACCAGGACGGGGCTCCTGCCGAGGGTCCCCGGGGCCCTTTTCGGACTGCATAAGGTTCTAGAACAGATGCCTACAAAATCCTAAAGCTATTTTTCAGGCAGTTGATAATAAGCCCCTCCCCCCTCCCCATGCCTCCCCTCCCCCTCCTCCCCCCTCCTCTCCCTCTGCCCTCCCTCCGACCCAGCTGTGTGTGTGGGGGAGCCGAGAGCCCCCTGCGGGAAAGGGGGGGGCCCACGTGGGGGGCAGTTACGTGGCCCAGGCGTCCAGGCGCATGCGTTTGGTGGAGGCGTTCTCCCCCTCGGCCTCGGCGCCGGGTCTCAGGAGCCCGAGGGAGGAGCCGAAGTCGGGCCGGGAGGGGTCCTCCCGCTCGGGGGGCCCCTCGTAGGAGCTGGCGTTGCTGCTGAGACTGTCCACGGGCGAGCGTCCGCTGGGCTCGTGGCGGGCCTGGTGCGGGAAGGAGGAGGAGAGCGGGGTGCCACTGCTGCGCTCCCGGCTGGGCGAGACGGGCTCCGACTTGATGCTGATGCTGGGACTGGTGTTGACGGTCAGGGTGGCGGCCGAGAGGGAGGCGGCGGTGGCGGCGTGCGGCAGGTGGCTTCCTTGTCTGGCAGAGAAAGGAGAGAGGGAGGCGGGTGAGGGGTGGGGGGGTGGCAAGGCAGGCAGGGCTGCTCCCCACACGGCTCCCTTCCCACCCGCTGGAAACGGGGCCTCTGGCCAAAGGGTCATGAACTCTGGTCGTGTGACAGCCGCCACAAATTCAGGCCGAGGGCCCAAGATGCCCGTCTGGGGGGATGAGGGGCAGCCATTGGAGGTTCAGAACCGGGGCTCTAATGTTGAACGCTGACCGGGCGGGAGGGGGGAGCCGCCCCGCCCGGCTGGCCCAGGGGAGCCACTCACATGAGGTTGCTGAGGGAGACCGGGATCTGCTGCGCCGGCTGCAGCTGTTGTGGCTGCGGCTGCCAGGCGGAGAGGCTGCCCAGAGACAGGTTGGTGGGCGAGCTGAACGCCGGGAGGGAGGAGAGCTCCGCACTGCTCAGCTGGTAGTCTGAAAGGAAGCAGAGAGGTCAGGCCAACGCACTCCCACTTGGCTGCCTCACGCCCAGGCTGCACAGCTCGACCGCTGCCAGGTGCTGCTTTAAGGAGCTGCCCTTGAAGGCTACCCAGGGAGTCCAACTGGCCCAGGACGGAGGGCACCCCTTGCCTTCCTGGCACAGCAGGGCCTGCCTACTTACAGGACCCCTGCCTCCCGGGATACCTGCCCGCTGGTTCAGCCTGGCCAGGTTGGCGTGCTCCCTCCAACGAAGCGGTGCCATCTGTGGGCACCCTGGACGTCCGTTTCTCTTGGCCACAGGCTCTGCCCTCTCCAAAGAGGCCTCTGGCCCCAGGATGCCAGCGGCCCCCACCCTGCCTGGCTTCGGGGGGGGGTATCCCAGGCCCTTTGGGGGGGAAAGGGGGGGCGCCTGTGCTTCGCTCCTATCCAATCGATCCGTTTAATTTCTTAAAATGGGAATTCCTGAACGTCCCTTGTTTTAAGCTGCCCAGGATCCCTGGGAATCTGGTGGCAGACGAACCGGACCAATGAAGTGAAAGACGGGATAAGAGGGGAGAGTCCGGCTCCAGCCGTGGATGTAGCCACTTCATCTGCAGGCACCCAAGGGGGTAGTCCTCACGGGGTGGCCAGCTTGGCTGGCTGGGGGAATTCTGGGAGTTGAAAGCCAAAGCTTAAAGTCGCCACGGTTGCCAAACCCGTCTCTGGATCATTTCCAAAACGACAGGCCGCTAGATGGCGCCCTCGGCCCCCTCTTGGCTGCCCTTGCCACCCGAAGCAGAGCGCCTGGGCCTGCGCCGGGCTGCTCCACCTGATCGAGGTCAGCCGCCAGTTCCTTCCCGCCTGGCAGCCCCTCCACCGAAGGCGTTGTTCCGATTCCCAGCCGCCAACGGCTCGGCCCAGGGGAGCCAGGGGTCCCCCCTTTCTTGGCCGAGGGAGCCAGCCTGGTCTGTGGACCTGTGGCCAGCACGCAACGCGGCCCCCTCCCCACCTACTTGTCCATCGATCTCATTGCAAGGAGCGTGGGCACTTTCCAGCTGACCAGCTCGGCGTCTTTAACCACTCAGCCGCCATCGCGCCCAGCCCTGGATCCGATGTTTTTTTTAGGCTTTGGATTTTTTTAAAACTGTTTTTAGACTTGTAAGCCACACAGATTATTCGACCCTTGGACGAGACGAGTGGCTATAGAATTTGGACGGGTGAGTCATCGGATGAATGAATGATAATCAATCGATACAATTTCCTAGACTTCCTATCCCGTAGCTAAGCCTAGCGCCGTCTCTCTGGAGGTTGGCAGGACAAGCCGGCCGCTTCTTAGGGACAAACCACGTTGGGGCCAATAATATTTTTCGAAATCAGGAAACAGAAAAGGCCGGGAGCTCTACTGAGAAGGGAGACGGCGTGAAAGAAGGTGGATTAGCTTTCCTCCCGAAGCTGTGCGGGCTCCATCCCTGGAGGTTTTCCAAGAAAGGACGGGCAGCCTCTTGTCCAGGAGGGCACTGGGCCTGGGGTTGGACTAGATGGCCTCCAAGGTCCCTTAGGTGCTACTATGTATCGCAGAGGCCGCTGTAGCTCCTGCCCCGAGCAGCAAAGAGGAGCCCAATCGGCACAGAGGATCCCAGGGAGAGCCGGAGGGGACCAGAGGCCGTTTTGCTTGGCTCCCTTCCCTCCTCGGGGCGAAAGGAAAAGCGAAAGAAGGATTGAGCCGCCGGTGCTCCGAAATGGAGAATATATTTCCCCCCGGCCACCACCAGTTGAGGAAGGGAGGCTCTGAGGGGGGAAGGAGGAAGTTTGGGCCTGTTTTTCTGCATAACTAATTATTTCACTGTCTATTCCACGCCCGGCAGGCTCTGGGGTGGGACGGCTGCGCTGCGGACCTGTCGCCGCTTGACATGAACGTTGACGCCTGAAGTTTCCCTCCACCACCTTGAAACTCCCAGGTGGGGGAGGCAGCAGCCTCCTGTCTTGATGCCCCCCCCCCCCCAGGAGAGAGGAAGGGTCCCAGCCAAGGGGTGAAGGACCTGAGGAGCCTCATTGCTGAAGGCGGCAGGTTGGTGGCGGCTTCTCGGGGTGGAATATGCTAATCCGAGGCCCCCGGAATACTTGGGGGCCTCTTGGCTGGGATGTCCTGCCCCACCCCTTCTCTCTGGGGGAGTCTGTAGTTTCTGAAACACACACACACACCCCGTGTCTAATCCCCCTCCCCCCCAAAGTCAAGGCTGAGCCAAGACTCCCCTGCTAGGTTTCCTTCCCGCCGGAGGGCAGAGTTGTAGCTTGGGGGCTTCTCCGTTCCAGACACCGCCATCCCTTAAGAGGCAGAGGAGGAGGAGGAGGAGACCCTCCCCCTCCCAAACAGGAGCCACTGGCCTACTTGGCAAGGCTCCTTCCCAGCCCCTGGGGGAGGGGGGCACCTGGGAGGAGGAGGAATGGCGCTGCTGGGTGAAGCCAAGGGACCCAGCAGGGCCAGAGGGAGCATGAGGACGGTCACCCTTGGAGGGTCCTGTGCTGGCTGACCCCTGACTGACCCAAGCGAAGCCACGGGGCCCTGGCCAGCGCCAGAGCTTCCCTTCGCCCCCAACCCCTCAGGCAGACCCTCCTCCCAAGCGGGGGCTTCCTTCCCTGCTGCGCTGGGCCTCCCCGGAAAGGCCCAGCCCCTCAAAGCCCCCTCCCAGGATGGAGGAGGGCCCCCCAAAAATGCAGGTTGTTAAAAGTGGACTTGCTTAAGCCCCCTCCCCCCCCCGTTTCCCCTCCTGAAAAAACGCCCCCCTCCTTCCCCTGGGGCCCCTTCATAACTGGACGTCCTTGGGTTTCTCCTTGGAGACCTTTCGCTCCTCGTCCAAGAAGCTTCTTCAGAACCGAGGAGAAGCGAAACACCTTCAGGGGAAAAGCGAAGCCCCTTGGGGGCCACCGTGGCCCGGATGGCTGAGGAGGGGTCCCCGGGGGCCCCTTCGCAACCGTATGGCTGTTATGGTCCTCCAACTACCATTTCCCGCTCCAAGAGCAGTCAGGCCTGCTTGTCAGAAAGGGGGGCCGGCTGCCCGACCCCTGCTTGGAGGGGGGGGGGCTCTGTTCCTAGAGGACTTGGGCCTCCCCCCCCCCCTCCTCCTCCTCCCTCAACTCTGGCAGGGGCCTCACCTGTGTTGTATGCCGTGGGCATCGCTGAGAAGGGCAGCCCCTGGGTCAGCAGGCTGGGCGTGGCCACTGAAACGACCGGCGTGGTCAAAGAATGTGTGGCTTGAGACACCAGGAGTCTTTGGGTGTTCTGCTGAGGGAGAGAGAGAAAGAGAGAAGGAATGAGACAGGGAATCTGACAGAGGAGGAGGAGGGGGGGGGGGGGGGGGGGCTCTCCGGCGTTTGGCCCCCTGGGGAAGGCGGCCGTCCTCTGCATCGGAGCCTCACACCACGGACAGCCGGGAGAGCCGGGGGCCTTTCCTCCCAATGTGCGTCCCGAGGACAGAGGTCTCTCCCCCCCCCCCCCCCCCCCCCCCCACCCCCCCCCCCGCCCCCCCAGCAGGACCCGGTGCAACCCAGGGACGGACTTGTTCGGCTGGCCCCACGAGAGCAGCCGCCCCTTGGCTGCAGCTGGGAACCCCGTGGATTGTGTCCTCTCTGGTGCAAAGACCCCAGGGGCCCCCGGGGGTCGCCTTGAACCACTCCACCCTTTCCTGCCACGGAGGCTCCGTGGCTCACCAGGGCCACACGGGGCTCAGGTGTGTGGCAAAACGCGCCTTTCACGGCTTGACCGAGGCCCCAACCCTGCCAACCTCAAAGCTCCCTTGGCTTTTCTGGAGACGGAAAAGAAGGGGTGCCCAACCCCCCCCCCCGAGCTCCAGGGCAACGCGAAGAAGGCCTGGTTCTCCCCAGCCACGAAACCCAAAGCCCCCTGGATGCCCCTTTCGCCCCCAATGCCCAAACCATCAGCCCCCTTCTGGCCTATCTCACCTTGTGCCAAGAGGAGGGCAGGATCCGGACAGGCCGAACCAAACGGCTGTGCCCAGTTTAGCTAAGAGAGGCCTGTTGGCCAAGGCAGCCAAGGAGGTGAAGGGGGTGAATTTCCCTCCCACCCTCCCTCCCACCCACTCCTGTCCCACCCCGGAACCTTCCTTGACGCTCCGAGCGCCTTCTGCCTCCTGGCCCTCCATGCCAAGCCCACCCCCCTGGCTGAGAGGTGGGGCAGGGGTCCCAGGCAGCCCCGGAGGCGTTCTTGCTCCAAGGTCTACACTGGAGAAAGTCCTGGTTCGCTACAAGACTCTCATTTATCCCAATGGACACACGATCCGTATCACGGATGCAGCCACCAAATGTCACCCCCCGTTTCTCCTCCTTCTTCCCTCCCTTTGGAAGCCTCTACAGGAAGGTCTACATGGTCTCTAGGAAACCATCCAGTGTGTACGGGGGAACCCCACGGTTAAGGGTGGAGAAGAGCCCAACGTCTCCCACCAGGAGCGGAGCCAACCCCATTCCGGGGCGGCCCCCCCTCTTGCCCAAGGCCGCCTCCTTCCGTCTCAAGAGCCATCGGAGGCCCCGAGGCCAGAAGCGCCCCAGGGCTGTGAAGGGAAAAGCCCCCCCTCCCAGCAGTGCCCCATGGCCTGGGGGGCCTTCGCCTGGCAGCCCGGCAGCGCACGAAGCCGAGGGAGGTGGGCACACCTTGGCTCCTTCAGCACTGGGGGCCAGGAAGGGATGTCACGGAGGCTCAGAGGGGGCATCCCCCCCAGGCCGGATCCAGCGGGCTACGGGTGTGGGAATACTCAGCGGTGAAGAGAGGCAGCGCCCCAAGGACCCTGATGGAGCCATGCCACAAGGGGGTGTGGGGGGGGGAAGGATACAGGGGGGGCAAGAGGGAACCTGGGCCAAAGAGGACCCTGTCAGTCTCAGGCCGAGAGGCGCCAGTCCTGGGGGGGAGGCAGTGGGGGAGGAGACAGGCAATGGATGCAGTTCGGAAGCATGCAGCCCCCCGGAGGAAGAACCCACCCAGACCCCTCCGAAGGGGCCAGAAGCCAGTGTGGGAGCCCCTGTTTCCGCTAGGGGACCCCCAACGTCCCACTCACCATTTTAGAACAGTGGTTGACGAAAGACCCTTGTGTATGCACACACACACAGACACACAGACACACGCACGCACACGCACAGAGGCACACCCATGCATAACTCACCAGGTCCAACTGATCGTCCGTCTGGATGCAGAATAAAAATGAAAGCAAAGGAAACTTATTACATTGAATTCCTAATTCCGATATTGCTTCCCACGTTCACTGACAATTCTGTGTCCTTCGTGGGCCGCAAAGAGAGTCACTGCTGGGCTGATTCGTCTGAGGTCTCTTTTGAAGCCTGGGGGGCTTCCAGGCGGAAAACACCAAAGCACCAATTAGCGGCCTTAAGGCCGTTGGACCTGCCCGGCTGCACCCAAACGGCCCCCCTGGGGATTGGCCCCTTCGGCAAAGCGTGCAGGACCAGAGGGCTCCAACCCTGGCAAGCGGACTTCAACTCCCAGAATTCCCTAGCAGAATTCCCTTCCCAGAATTCCCTAGCCAGCGCTGCAAACTGATGCAATCTTGCAGATCAGTGCCATTAATTAGGCAGACAAACAGATTCAAACAACGTTGCTGGACCAAAGCGGAGCAACTTTAACACAAATAAGCTGAAAACAGAATTTGGCTTGCCCGAGAGGCGGTTCCCACAAAACGCAGAGGGAGGGCGGACCCAGACGGCCTGTAAGAAGGGTGTGTGTGCGTGTGTGTGTGTGTGTGACTGGAGTGGGGCACGAAAGTTAGCCAGCCCCGCCCCATGTGCCCTCTGCAAAGGCTCCAAGGGCCTCGCCAACCGCCGCATCCTCCGACGAGGGGCTGGGCCTCCCCAGAGGCGGACTGGAAAAGGGAAGGACTCCCAGGGTCCGGACCCCGCAAAGGCCGGACTTTCCACGCTGGACTCACCAGGTGCTGCATGAGGCCTTTCCCGCCCTGGGAGGTGATGACCCGGAGGTCCGGCTTGCGGAGGTTGCTGACCATGGGGCTGCTGTGCTGGGGAGGCGGCGGGGGCGACTTCGCCGGGACGGCCTTGCCTAGGCTGCTTCCATTGGAGACGGGGAGGAGGTTCGGCGAGGCCCTGGCGCTGCCGTAGCCGTTGCCTGCAGGGGAGCACAGAGCGCCGTTCCAGGAGCTTGCGGTGTTGGGGGGCGCGGGGCTGTCTCCCGCCTCCACTGCGGCCGGTGCAAAGAAGCCCGGCGTTTCCTGCTGAAGCCCTTTGGACGGACAGGCTGGGCAAGGACCACCGGCCCTAAGCTGGGAAGCCACCCCAGAACCGAGCGGGGTTACCCAGCAGAGCCTGCCAGCCCCTTCCTCACCACGAGGCTGGGGTTCTCTCCTTTGGGTGGGTGCCAGCGTGCCAGAGGCGGGCACTAGCCCCCAAACCTCACGGGACCATCGGAGGCCTGGCCCCTGCCGTCTCCCCAAAGGCCCCCGTGGGGCTTGTTCTGCACCCTTCCAGCCCCCAGCAAAGCCCTTCAGCGGGCTTGGTAACCCATGCTGGCTCTGCCTCCCCCCCCCAGCCGCTGCCCGGCTGCTGTGCAGGTTCCTCTGAGCCGCAGACCAGAAGCCCCCCAGCACCGTCCCCCCAGGCGGCTTTCAAGGGGCCGAGGAATTCGGGGAATGGCGGGCTCAGCGGGAGGCGGTTTGGGTCAGCCCAGAGTCCCCGTTGGCTTCTCAACCTGGGCCACTTTGACAGGGGCAGACTTCCACTCCTTGCCGGCTGGAGGGTCCTGGGAGTTTTGGTCCACCCACCTTAGAATGGCCAGAGGGGAGAAACGCCGCTTTAGAGTAAGACAAAGAGCCAACACGTTGGGGAGGGGAGGCAGCGTGATCCTCCTGAGGAAAGGGGGAGGGGGATGCAGCCCGGGCCCCCTGCGGCCAGAGAGGGGAGCCCAGAGAAAGGGGTCCCGAGTGGCCCCCCCCGCTCCCGTTTCCTGGAACGAGGGGAATGTTTTTGTGACGTCAAGGCTGACATTCAGGGTCCCTGCCAAGTTGCAAGCTGGAACAGCCGCTCGCAACAGCTGACGTGGGGGCTGCTCTGGAGAGGGGAGAGGAGCCGGGACCGGGGACGGGACGGGGGATGGGCTAAGGCAGCAGCCTCGGCCCAGCAGACGGCCTTCCCCGAAACCAGCAGAGCCCCCCGCTTCCCGGGACCCTGCAGCCAGCCCCCCCCTTCTGAGACCGCCCCCCATCCTGGGGGGAGCCCTGGAAGGGCCAGGAAGGTGCCGCCGCTCTCCGCGGCCTCCCCGGGGCAGCTCCAAGTGCTTGGGCCGCGGCTGAAACCGAACGTTTCAGTGTGTGGAGCCTCTTGGGAAACGGCAGAGCCCGCGGCGGGTGGGCTGCCCTCCAGGAAGCTGGCTGCAGAGTTCGCCTGTCTCCCTCCGGGCCCCGGCGGGCTCAGCTGCCGAGCAGCTAAGCCAGCAAAGAGAGGCGTTTGGGGGGGGGG